CGACACGAGTTAACAATAGCCATGCACCACCTGTGTCCACGTTCCCAAATGCACCCCTTTCTTTCAAGAGTATTTGCGGCATGTCAAGCCCTGGTAAGGTTCTTTGCTTTTCGTCGAATTAAACCGTATGTCTCAAAACAAGAAACAAACATTGCAACTTAGTGTCTGAATCCATGGAAACTATTTGAATATCAATGCACAATCATAGAACATGAGACATACACTGCAACGAAGTGTCTGAATCCACAGAACAAGAAACAGACACTGCAACGCAGTGTCTAAATCACAAACTTTTGAATATCAACGTACAATCATAGAACAGGAAACAGACACTGAAACAGTGTTTAAATTCACAAAACTTTTTGAATATCAATGTACAATCATAGGATAGGAAATAGACACTACATTGCAGTGTCTGAATCCACAAAACTTAGAATTTGAAATGGAGCACATAACATAAGAAAATGAGCACGAGGAGTGGTGATTAGGCTAAACGACATAACCACCATGAATAAACATACACAGAGCCAACAAATATATCTAAACAGACTAAATCTGTAATATGCCCAAACCAATTTTAACATCCAAACAAGCTCAAATTCAAGACCAAAAAAGGTGTAATGTGCAAAATTACACCAAATCTCTCAAAAACACAACTTAAATAACCTAAAACATTAGAATTGAAGAACAAGAAGAAAATAGAAAGAAAAAAAAAACTTGATCGTGATTTCTCAAGTGCAAGTGCGAATCGTTTGTTGGAATCAAGGTAAAAGTATGAAATCGTTTGAAGTGGCACAAAGTTGATAAGGCAGGTGTTGTGAGGACAAAAAATGGAGGTTGAAGGTAGTGGGAGGCGGTGGAGGTTGCTGTCTGAGAGCGTTTTATGGTTGCGAGGTGATGGAGGTTGAAGTCTGAGAGTGTTTTACGCGGTTTACAATGAGGAATATGAAGAGGTTGGATGTTTTAAATGACAATGGCATGAATTGTAATTTTCATTTCATTGAGGTGTTTTAATGTAGCTTAAAGTCTCATTGATCTATTTATAATTGAAATAAATTTGATTGATATATTGTCAATATCATAACATTTGATTGATTTTATACAAAATCATTCTAAAAAAATTCAAAATACTCTCTAAAATTTAAAAGCACGAGCTAAAGATTTCTGGCAAAACAAACTCCAACTCAATAGTATAAAAATTGACATCTAAGGGCTCTTTTAAAAGTGTTTTTAAAATGATTGAAAGTCTTTTTAAAGAAAATGTTTTTGGGTTTCAAATGCATTTGAAATGCTTTCTGAGCAAGCATTAGTTATGTGTTTTTTATACGAAGCACTTCAAGTGTTTTTTTAAGATTCACTTAGATTTTTACTAAGAATTGGTTAAAAAAATATTTTCACCAAAATCGTTTTTAATCATTTTAAAGTCTCTCCTAAACAAGCTCTAAATTTTGGAAAAGAAGCTTAAAAACTAAGCCAACTTTTTTACAATTAATTCTTCTTGGATTTACACTTAGCAAGGTTTTTTATTATTTTTATTTTTATTTTTATTTTTAAGTGATATTATTTACACTAAGAGAGTAGGAAAATAGCTTAGCAATAATGTTGAAATTTGCATTTGGAGATAATCAAACATAAGACATCTCTCACAAATAAAAAAATATATATTAAACTATAGTATTAAGTAGTTTTCACTTGCTAAACTTAAATTCAATTTATCATAAAGTCCATAATCTCAAACAATACTCAGAACTCATTTTTCATCTACTTTTTCAAAAAGAGTAATAACAGGAAAGCTAACTTATAAAATCAAATATAGAGAGTAATATGAATAGATTATTTATAATTAAATTATTTCTCAGTTGTGATTAATAAGTTTATTTTTTATTAATAATACATCGTATAATTTTTTATTTGTCTCAAGAATTAGCCTAACTAGTATTATTCTTTCAAAAATATCTCATTAGAGACGTCCTCCAGTTTAGGCTTTATTCAGGTGTTAAAAACGAAATTTAATTGATCCAAATTAATTGAAGCGAAGTACTTGTTGACCTGTCTTTTCATTTGATTGATGGGTTGGCTGGCTGCATGCCTGCAGAGCCTTCGACCGGACAGATTTTTCAATGTGCAGTATCTCATGTATTTTTTATTTTTTTAACAGTAGATATTATTTATAAAAGAAGAAAGTGAGTTTAATTTTATAATACGTTTGTAATAATGTGATTTAAATTTATCTTTAACGAAAATTGAACATAAAATCTCTTGCTTACTTGTGAGTAGGAATACCACTAGAATCAAATTACTAGATTGTATTATTATATAAGAAGAATTTTTTAAGTTTTTTTATTTGTATAATGATGTACAACGTATGTAATCATATTCTAATCAGACTTAAAAATCTCTTTTTTTGGCTACACGTACTGATAGAAATAGTAAATTTATAGATAAATTTAACTAAATAATATATCATTAATAAAAATATACATATTTATTAATATTCAAATAATAATCTAATCTTCAACATTTACGTTATTACAAACTTATTCATCTTCCCATTACTCCTTTGCTAGAGATAGAGAGAGGCGCACTGCTGCACAGTCCAGCAGAAAATGCCAAAGGGCACGCAAATTAAGGCACCGCACCTCCTCAGTCTCAGCTCATCAGGAAAAACTGGCTGGATTCTTTTTCTTTTCCGCGAGTCAAAGGGACGTGCCCCCACTTCTTTGACTTTTTCTTTCATAATGTACTACGTAACCTGCGTATTTTAGCAAACCGCCATGCACGCACCGCTATTGCTGCCCAAGAGGAAAGAATTCCACTGCATGAGTTTGCCTACGATTTTGAGGCCTAAATTCAATAAAATTAATCTTAGAAACAGCTTTTACAACATTACTTTACTTGTGTTGTGTCCAAATAAAGTTTTTTTTCATGACACTACTTGGCAGAACGAAATTCATCACGAATTTTATTTAGTACGTATTTTGAAAAATAAGCATCGTTCAAGTTGAAATATTACAATGTTCAACCTAGTACAACTTACGTTACATGAGCTATGAGAAGATTTTTTTTTTTTTTCCTTTTAAATATACTTATATTTTGATAAAGTATGTCAAATCTCTTCTCAAAGAATAAAAAATATTTGATGTCATGGCTTTTTACCTTCCCAAGAAAAATTTAAAACTTTTGTCAAGTTGGTCTTCATCTAAAGAGCTTCCATCGTTTTCGCAGTTTACTCAACTGAGTACTTCGAATTGTCTACTTCAATCTTCCAAGTGACACTTTTTTTCCTTCTGTTACTTTTCGTTAAAATAAATAGACTAAATTTATAGCATTAGTCTCCTAATTAGAACATTTCTATCCATTGATCAAAGGCAAGGGCAATAAAATTGCCTTTACTTTCCACTCAAAACAGTAAATATTTTTGTGCAAGTCTTTCAGTTTGAAAGGAGAAGGGGTAAGAACAAGAACGATCACTATTTTCAATATATTTTTTATCTTCTAATGTTTTTTTTTTGTCTTACCCCACATATAATTATCGTAGTAGATTTTTGTTTAATTTGCAATTGAGTTACACTTGATAAGAATTCGTAAGCATGGACTTTGTAAGTTTTTTGAACATTTTTAATTATTTCTTTTTAATTTTTTTAGTAATTTGTAGAGTTGGATTAATCCTTGCAATTAAAGTTTTCAAATTTTTAGAATTTGAAGCTCCACAAAGTACCACGTGGCGCAGCCCAAAATTTTTAAATTTTTGTAACGTTGGAAATCCCACGTTTCCGCTCAACAGATCGAACTAATATCAATTTAATAGAAAAAAATAAGATAAATTGGATTTTTTTAGGCATGAAATAAGACAATCTAGTTAATAATAAAAAGAAACCGGCGCTAAGTAAGGTCTGCTAGTATTCCTCTTCATTTCAAAATGAGAGGTCATAGATTCGAATCTCGTGAATGACGAATTCGATATCAAATTAGGCTGCTCATTGTGTAGCTTAGCCAAACTCCCCCTCGTCGTAATGTTAAAATATCGATATACTACAAAAATAATAATAAAAAGAGACCATGCCCTAGTGGCCCAGTAGTAAAGATCGAATTACAAGACTTCATTAAAACTAAAAATCCGAGGTATCGGGTTCAAAACCCTATGTGATTCTTCCTGACTCTCGAAAGAGATAAATAATCGTGGTTTGCCACTAGTTCATTTTTTTGAAGAAAAAATAGTTAATAATAAAAAAGATCGTATAAAATTAAAAGAATTTATTTTGAAGGCCGCCCCAAAAATACTTGATGTGGTTTGGTTTTTTTTTTCTTAGAATAATGTTACTTTTATCATTTATTTGTACTATCTTTTAATAAAAGATAGAACAAAAGATTGCAAGAATAACACTTATTTTTCTTATTTCTGGATGAAATTTTTTCTTTACCCGTTTCTTAATAGAAAAGTTTATGTAGTTGATGAAAATTACCATTTAGTGCTCATGGTACAAAATTTAAAAACCCTGGTTCCTATTAATTGAGTTTTCTTCATATAATTATGGGACCATTATTACAATTTCGTAATAAATGTAATCTCCCTATGGTATAAAGCCATATTTTTGACCATGTCCTTCCCAAATCAATCTAGTTACAAAGTCTTGTAACAATATATATACATATATATATATATATATATATGTACTATCCATTAATAGTTTGAGGAGTTACCCCTGGTGACAGAAAATGTACTTGGTAGGTAAACCACGAAACTGAGAAAAAAAAAATTAAAAATATTTATATTTCATTCACAAAAATTCGATGATGATTGATGAGTTGGTTTCATATTATATATTTACAGACAATAGAACTAGTTTAAAACTTGGAAGTATAAAATTACCGCGTACACATAAAAAGGATCCGAAATTCTTTACCAAGTATTTTATTTTCAAGGGACGTTTATGGTCAGCTGGCTAGATTCTATAGTCAGATCTCAGAACAATATGCATCGTTTCTGTTCTGACATCAAATTTAACTCACCACTAATTTCAGTTAATTTGTTCTAAACAATAACGGTTACAGTTAATCAGATGTAACACCAAAACATGAACCCAGATTAACTTCCATGTTACATTTCTGCTCTTCATTTCTACCATCTAACTTAGCTAGCTACCTTAATTTCCACCACAAATTAACCAATTCCTAGAGACTAATTTGTGTTCCTTACTTATGCTAATTAAACACAATAATTAGTCATTCCACAGTGCAAACATTGGAACCTGTTGAACCAAACCAAGATTTCCAAGCCTGCTGTGATCAGTCCCACCATTATTTCCTGCTGAGAAATAAGCATGAGAATAATCACCTCCTGCAATGCCAAACTCATGACTTTTAGGGCTTGAAGCACCCAATGGTGCATTTGTGTTCGAATGATCCTCTGCTGCATTGTTCCACATCATGTCAGCCAAGTCATCAGAAGGTTCAACACCACTTGTGATGGCCAAAAGGGGATGTGGAGAAGTAGACGAAGCGCATGAATTGAAGTCCTCGATCGCTGCGGCCGGAGGAGCTGAGTCTTTCGGTGAACGTTTGGCGAGGTCACTGGCAATGAGGGTGGAGCTTGAGCAAATCCTCTTCACATCGTACCTACTCATGTCAAAGTTGGTCACAGCACTTATGCCCCTAAACTTGATTGCTGCAATGTCATAAGCCTCAGCTGCTTCTTCTTGTGTGCCTAAATCAATCGACACCAAGAACATCATCATAATCATTCAAAATGTCGTCTATAAATTCGATTCATTGACAAAATTATATCATGTTGCGCTGTATTCTATAAACACAAAAAAAAATTTACCGTTAGATTCTCGTTCCAACACTCAAATTTAATGGTAAAATATTTCACATATAAGGAAACAACGTACTGGAGAGTCCTCAAAATGGATTAGGGATTTTTAATTTATGTGAAATCAACTTACTAAATGTTCCAAGGTACAAGTCTTTGTTTCCAGCAACTCTGCCAATCCTAGCTTGCCACCTTCCATGCTGATGGTGTCTGTCAGGACAAAGAAAATAATTTGGTTTTGACAGATTGAGGGAAAAAGAAAAAAGGATAGGAAATTGGATGGGGTTGGAATTTAATAATGTACTAAAATTTAGAAATGTTTGATATCATATGGACATTTTAAATAATGTTTGCCTATTATTGACTATGATAATTGAAAAGGCTGCAAAAATAAATTGCAGTAAATAATGGCAACTCTATTATTAAAGTTGCTTTGTGCCATACCTTGTCACACCTCTGTACACAGAAGCTCCTCTTGAAAACCCACTGCTTTTCCTAATACCAACATCAAAAGATGCCATTCAGACCAACAAAAATTTCAAACTAAAATAAAAACATAAAAGATGCTACAAATTCGAAAAAGAAAATCATGGTCCAGAAAGTAGTAAAAGGGTATATACCTTCTCAAATTGGCTACAAATTCTTGCCTTGTCATGTTCTTCATCTCTTCTAGCTCTTTTTCATAAGTACTTAGCTAATCAGCAGAAAGAGACAGGAAGAAAGTTACAGAAGAAAACAAATAATAGTTTTGATAATTTGTTGGTGAATTGTTAAAGTTTATAGGATATTTGTGTTTATTCAACAACTAACGGGTCGCAATATCTCCCTCTCCTTTCACTAACTTAGTTCACAACGATAGCTTATAATAAATAAAAACCAAATCTTAAAGAGTGGTAGAAACCAAAACTTACCGGGAAGTTTATATGAGTAGTTGAACCCCAATACTTGAGTGCAGCTAAATCATAAGCCCTAGCAGCTCTCTCCTCCTTATCATAACCGCCTGATGATCGTTTTGCAGAGGGGAAACAAATAATACGACAATTTTTTTAAATTTTGCACAACTTACAATGCATATCTTTATATTATATCTTTTAATGTAATCGATTAATAAAAGTTACGTCCAAAAACTTCATAAAGATTATACATGCAAATTGGTATCAGAAGCTCAGAGCTAAAGATTCACATACCCAGATAAACTGCAGTTGCAATAGTGTGAAGAAAGACCAACCCCACAACAAAATGCATGGAAAAAGGAAAAAAATACCAGACCGTTAGTATATTCCTGTAACAAACAAAAGTACCCCAAAAAAATTTATAAAAAGAAAACCAAATATTTTTAATAACAATTTTCTCACCTTGCCTTCCTTTCCTTGTTTGCCCTTCTTTTCTGCAACTATTATCCCATAGATGGGCCTCATATCTCCCAGTCCACCTATGCCTAAAACAAATAAATTTAAGAACAAAAAAGTTATTAAAAAAAGGAAGATATTTTCATAGTAGCATTTTTTCTGTACTCGAGCTTCCGAGTTCAATTTCCGGCTACCCACCATCGCTTGTATCGACAAAGAAAATCTAAGAAAAGGAAAAGAAAGTAAATAGTTGGTATATACCTGGTGACACCCCGGTACTGAGAAGTGCGCTGACCAAAAGTGTCGAGAGATTTTCTAGGAACTGGTTCTCTAGCAGGAGATTTCCCAACAGCCCTTTTCTTGTTATCCACTACTTGGATTTGTTGATGAGAAATTGCACCCATATTATTATTATTATTATTATTATTATTATTATTATTATTATTATTACCATTTTGCAAGCTTGGACACATAGTGAGTGAGAGAGCTGACTGATGATCACCACCACATAATGATTTCCCATCGCAAAAGGGCAGCGTTTGGCCCAACCAAGATTTGTACATGCCATTACTAGGGACAAGGCTTTGTGCTGGGTTCAGGTATTGCAGTAATGGGTGTAGGGTTGATTATTGATAAAGTGATCTCTGCTGGGTTCGATTTCTCCGTTGCTGGGTGTGGTGGTGGTGAAGTTGGGGGATTCGTTGACGTTGATTTGGGAGATGGGGGAGTCTTGGTTTTGGTCTTGCTGGGTGTGGAAGTTGTAGGCTTTGGTTTCATCAGTTGGAGGAGGAGAGCTGGAGTAGCAGCTGCCCAAGAAATCTTCAAGCTTTGGACCCTCCTCGTTTGGGTCTGCAGCTGTCTCACTTGTTGCACCCATTTGGTTCTCATATCTCCAATCTTCCAAAAATTATACAAATCATATGAAAATACTAAAAAAAGGAATACACAGAAAACCCAGAAAATAATTATAAAAAAGCTTCTACTTTACATGTAATACCTTCAGAGCCATTGGAGCGGCTGAAAGGGTCAGCAGAAACACAGAGAGAACCATCAGAGCGCAAGGGCATGATGGTCATTTCAGAAGAGAAGCCTCCACCTCCTACATGTTCTTGTTCATCTTCCCTCCCACCAAATCCTTCATGGATCCTCAAGTGTGGAGCCAGAGAGAATCCCAACCAATTACTCATAACCAACTCCACTCAAAAAACACCAAATCTCTCTCTCTACCACTAAAATAGTTGGGCCTTTGGGAACTTTATGAGCTTTCAAAAAGGCGGGACTTGTGGCAGTGTTATGGGGAACAAAAGAGCTAGGATATGAAAGTATGTTTTTTTTTTTTTTTTTTTTTTTTTCCGAAGATTTACTTCTTCGGAGTCATGATGGATTGGGAGGGCTCCACTAGTCCTTGTGAGGGGAGGGTGTTCCTCTCTATGGGGCTTTAGAGACGTGTAGACCTAAAAACCCGATTTGTGAGAAACTACAGAAGTCCCATTCGTCTTTATATTCTTACCACTGTTTCTGTTTTTGTATTGAAATCCTTGGACTCTGTGCCTCTCCCTTCTTTCATTTCTTTGTCATATACCAGCAGTGCTGGTCATGACATGTGACGGGAAATTTTATTATTAATAAAAATAAATACGTTTATTAATATTTAGATGATAAATCAAACATTAATTTGTATATTTTTTAACTTATAAAATTAAGTCTTCCTAATATTGTCCTATTATTTTTTGTCAAAAAAGCTCAAAATCAAATCTACAAAAACTTTTTTTTTTTTATCAAAATTTACAAATACTTTGAACAGTTTAAACAACATTAATTTTTAGTGCGATTATCATATTGTTACATTATATCATAAAATAGATATAGTTGACCTACAATATAATTTTAATAAGTAAATGCATGCATAATAATATGAGTAAATTAAATAACATGCGACAATGTAACATACACATAAAAATTTCTAACTAGATGAAGCACAAGCAATTTTGGAATATTTTATGGTAAAAGATATCTTTGTTAACTTTTACAAGGCTAATAAAGAAAAATTAATGAAAAGAATTTCAAAACTTTGAGTTTTAACAAAAAAACATGCTATAATTTTATTTAATAATAAGGACAAGCAAAAAAAAAAAAAAAAAACCTAACTAAAGGCACGTGCAAAGAGTACCCAATGTCACATCTCGAGCTCGACTCCACCGTAGCACGATATTGTCCGTTTTAGGCCCCAACCACACCCTTACGGTTTTGTTTCTGGGAACTCACGAGCAACTTCCCAGTGGGTCACCCATCCTAGGATTGCTCTCACCCGAACTCACTTAACTTCAAAATTCCGATGAAACTCGAAGTCAATGAGCTCTCAAAAAACCTCGTGCTAGGTAAATATGAGAATATACCTATAAGGCTTATAGGATCCACTTCCCTGGGCAATGTGGAATGTAACACCCAACCAATCATTTAGTTGTATAACCATTTGACATAATCCAAGCATATTTTATTCCTCTAAAATTAAAATTTCAAATTGAAGTGGGTTCGTTCGATTTAAAACCACATCTAGGGCGGTATGGTTGAAAAAGAGTCTGTTAAGTGTGGGTGTTGACATTGATCTCTGTCATATATATATATATATATATATATATATATATATAATCTTTTAGCCATGCATGACTTTAACGGCATGGATGTTGATCTCTATCGTGTTTTTTTTTATGTCTTTTCGTTGCATTCTGGTGAAAGAACTTGAAAATCTTGGACGAGCATCTACCATTAAGTTTCATAAACAATGTAGTATCTTAAGTTTCATAAACAGCGTCGTACTATTAAGTTTCATAAACAGTGTAGTAAGTTTCATAAACGGTGTCGTACCGTTAAGTTTCATAAACAGTGTAGTACCATTAAATTTCATAAATAATGTAGTAAGTTTCATAAACAGTGTAGTACTATTAAGTTTTATGAACAGTATAATAAGTTTCATAAACAGTTTATGTAAGGAGCACGCAAGTCCGCTCGTTAGATTTTTTTTAATATTAAAATTATGTCTTTTTCATTAAACTTTAAGTTTTTATGTCTTTTTTTTTATTAAAATTTAAGAGTTTTCCATTAAAATTTAAATCTTTTTCATTAAATAAAATTATAGCATGTTTTTTTTTTTATTAAAACAAACTTGTCCAAATCATTTTCATGAAAGTTTCCTTAGAATAATCATCCTCTCTTAATGAGAAACCCAAGCAGTAGAGAATTTTTTGTTTTTCCTCTTTGTATTTTGGTCAGAGCAAATATTTTTTTGTTTTGAAGTATATGTTTCATTCCGAGGCTCTTTGTTTTCTAAGTTAATGAACATTTATTTGTCACGTAGAAATTGCTTTATGCATGGTTTGCAACCTTTCATCAATCGTTCAAATGGAACAATCTATTCTATTTTATATAAAGAGAATGGAAAAGGTGAATATTGATTTGGTGTCACCATGTTTCGACAAAAATGCCCCCAAAACAAAAATCTTCAAAGGCAGTCCAAAATAATACATCAAATAAGATAGGGGCATTTTCATCATTTTAATAGTATTTATTTAATAATTTACTTTTTGGTGTTTTTTTTTAATTAGTACCTGACAATAAGCTAACAATAATGTGATTCAATTTCTTTATTTTTAAACACGTTCAAAACATCTTAAGAGAGACATATAATGCCGATTATAAAAAATGTTTTTCGCACGTGGATAACAATTTGATTAAATAAGTTATCAAATGATTGTTTTTTTTTTTAACAAACGATATTATCCACACTAAGGGAGAAGGGAGTGGGCTTAGCCTCACTGTGACAGCTCGTCCCGAAATATGGAGTATTTTATTCTCGATGACATGAAATGACTATTTTGCCCTTAAGCGTCTGGTAATGGTGTGTGTTAATGGGCTAAGGAGTTGAACCAATTATTTCATATCCTACTTTGTTGGACCCAATTGGAAATTGGTGTTGTTTTGTATGGTTTTGGCATGCAGCCCAATTAGGGCTGGAGGTGGTTTTTAGGTGCCCAATCCGAACACACATACACACACTCACACACACATGCAACATGCATCCTTCTTTCTTTTTCTCTCAAACTCTCTCTGTCCGTACATCGGTTGACCAACCTCCAAACCTACGTTACTCTCACGGATCGAGTGTTTGGAAGGTACCATCACCTCCCTCGTGGTCTCACAAACTTTTACATACCAGTTGCTCGATGTAAGGACCTCGAGAACCCCTGAACTCTGAACTCCGGTGAAGAGTCGATTTCACTCCGACATGATCGTCAAGGTTCTACCAGATTTTAAGACTTAAAAAGGTAATCATTAGTCTTCTTTAGCATGTTAGGTTAGTTTTGGTTAAGTTTGGACGTCAAAATGAGCTTGGTTGTGGGTTTGCAGGATTAGCCAGTTTTCAACGATGGCTTTGGCCATTTTTCCGTTGGTTTTAGGACTTTTAAAAGGTAAGAACGTGTTATACTCGTTTAGAGCTTCAATTTGAGACAAATTTCATGAAATTAGGTTGAGAAATGGATATCAAGCTTTGAAAATTTTCCAATTTTTGGTGACACAGACGGCAGCCGACGGCAAAGTCCAGCGATCCACCAAAGAAGAAAGAAGAATATTTCGTCAACTTTGATAGAATACTCCTAACGACGATTAACGACACCAGGTATGTTTAACAGTATATTGTGACAACCCGTTCCAAATTTTACGTTTTTATTTTATTTTAAAAGCGTGAATTTACGAAATTGCCCTAGAGGCAAGGACTTTGACTTCCATTGACCATCAACTTGAGAGATGTGAGACTTATTCTTTTAGCATATCTTCGTAGTACTCATTGGTACGAACGTATAGGCGAAAGCCGTTTGCGAGTCCGGATTATAACGGTATAGTTACGGACGTTCAAAATTGGTTATTCAAGGTGTACTGTTTATTTAAATTAAATCCCCAAAAACCCAATTAGAAATGGAGGGAGGAAAGAAAGAAAAAAAAAAAAAAAAAAAAAAGGAAAAAGAAGTGGTTCCCGTCCACCCGCACCCACCGCGGGTCCATTTTTCGAGGCCGATTCCGGCCAACTCCGGTGGAGTTTTTCGATGCCACCACCACCATCTTGAAGCTCACATTCCCCTCTACAAAATCCACCCAAGAACCACCTTCATTAACCATGGTATGGGGTGGTTTGAGGCCACGAAAGTTGACGAAAATCAATAGTGCTCCGGCCACCCTTTTCGATTTTTCGGCAAATCAGCAAAGCGATGGCCGATGCCACCACTTGGGCTTTGTAGCCCATCATCCCAGGAGAAAAACCTAACCAACGTTGACCCCGTTGGACCACCGTATACGATGAATCGACGTCGGGAAGTTTTAGGCACCCGCCGGTTTTGTGGGCAAAATTGACTATCTTCCGTCCACTTTTGGACTTCGTGTCAGGTATGAAAGTTGATCCACTCACTGAGATCTTCATTTCTGTGAAGTTTGAGAATTTTTGGAAATAGTTGGATTTTCCAGCGAGATTTTTAGGCTATGTCAAATGTCTTGAATTCAGTTTTGTCATTTGAATGACGTAGGTTGATAGTTGGAACCTAAATTCGTTACGATACGTTACTTGATAAAAATGTGAATCGATGATCCGACCGTTGGATCGTCACCAAAATTGGATACATTATAATAAGTAATATTTAAAGATCATAGGAATTTACGGATCGGGAATCCGACTTACAGATCTTCATGAATTGGATTTGTAAGTTAGTAAAATAAAGGTTCACGGCCACTTGTTTTAGGTCATTGGCGGAGATCTGACCGTTGGATCGTAATCAAATTTTAATATGTTATTCTAGAAACATATTGTGGATCGTTGGGAGTTACGGATTGGAAATCTGATATGCGGATCTTCCAAGTCAAGTTATACAGTGTTGTAAACCCTACAGTCGATCTTTGATCAACGGTTGACTTGTGGTCAATAGGTCTCAACCTATTTTAGAATATCGTTGAGGTTGTGTTTTATGTGAATTACATATTCTTCGGATAAGAGTTCTGAGATATGATTTGATAATTGGTCACAGGGACCAATCATTTAGGACGTCTCGATGTGTGCTCTAGGGAATCATAGCGTGGACTCCAGGTGAGTGGATCATTTCCTTTTTATCGTACATATTGTTGAGAGTTCTATTGACACTTTTAAATTGATTAGGTATATTGCCTTTGTATAATTATTGTGAATGCTTGAAGTACCTATATGAACTACGAATGGCTTGATCCCTGTTTAGGGTACGCAGGCAGTCTAACGAGACGTTAGATGCAGCCATAAAATATTTGAGACAAAAGTCTTGCTTGGGAAATTGAGTAATGCGGAGGAAATTGGTAAAGGCAAGTTTTAGTTTTATGAATTAGTTTGTTAAATTAGTGTTAATTGAGTTGTCATGGATAATTATCCCTGAAAATAAGTAGTTTGGAAGTAGGGCGTTATT